GGTAGCAGTATACTGTGGCGTAATCATATTTAATCCTAATTTATTTTTTAATGAGAAGTTAGTGAAAAAGTTTATAAGGGTGAAATTTTGAATTTGTGTTTTGGCCGTTTTCCAAGTTTCTGATCATTTAAGGGCGTAATCAAAGAAACTTACCGGGCTCAATACTTTTGATTAATTGGTTGAAAGCATTTCAATGTGTACGTATGGGTTTTAAAATAGACGTATTCGTAGAAAGTACCATTTTTTCAAAGTTCATAAACATTTTAGAGTCAAAAAACTTTATGAAACTCTTTTATTCATATCGCACCCTCAACTGAATATGGCCATAACTGAACTTTTAATATTGCCAAGCTGCCTATATTATATTGCAGTCGCGGCAGTGATGAAATAGCAGTTATGACAGTATTGCACCAAGGGCGTACCCAGCTCAATACGGAAGGGGGACACCATAACAAAAAAAAATGGTGGAAGTTCCACAAATCATATCCGCATTCTTGATATTTTTCTTTTTATTTGCATTTCATTTATATAGAGACGATTTGACAATCAATATGCATATAGAAAAGTACTAGGATTGTTTTTTTTGAAACATTCTAGCAAACATGGCGCGAGATGTTTTTTAAGTAATAATTTAGTAGTTTGCAATACTTGAAAGCAACGCTTGACATAGAATATGACATTTAGCCAAAAATAGTTTTCTAGAATATGTAGAGGATATGTACCTAGTTTGAAAAACAAATTTGTCATATTTTCACCAGTATGATCTCCGAAGAATTGCGTATTTGTGTATTTCAGAAAAAGCATTTGAAAAGTTTTGACGCTTCCAGTACCTCCGGAGATACACGGAAAAGGGAAGGAATTTTCCCAAAATCGTTTCTCATTTTTTTTTATTTATTTAAGATAGGATTTCAAAATAAACTGCGCGTTGACATGGCAACTTTTCGATCTCTGCAAAGTGGCATATTATCCGCTGTCTCGACATTGATGTTTCTTATGTATGCCATTTTTGACGCGGGACATTAGAAAATTATGAAAATCAAGCGGGCCATAAAGGTGTCCTACAATCGTCGACTGACGATAATAATTCCCTGTACGTCTTTCCCATCAGGAAAGAGATCAATTACGACACAAAAAACGCTTAGAGCAACGGTACATTGCCCATCTACTATACGTCAATGTAAGGCTAATAATCTCCCGGTATTTTGCGCTCCGCGTCAACTTAATGCCTGTTTGTACGGGCTGTAAATCATTCCATTTCATTGTAACGAACTAACTCTATATTAAGCTCATTGTGTTGTTTTGCATGGCTTCATAGCAACGCGTACACCATTTTTTTTCAAGTACCCTGTTACACATATTAATACAGAAGCAACAGAGGTATTTTTGTAATTCAAAATTATAATCTTTTATAAAAAAACTTTGTGCAAGAGTTGACATCGATACAAGTAGGTAACAGTTTCCTTTTCAAACACATTTCGGCTTCTTCTTGGTATGCAGGTGGCCGCAACAAAGCCTAATGCGTCTTGTAATTGATACTGGATAGGATAAGATCATTTATAATACTCATTAGGGGATCAGTAAGTAAGAAAACTGATACCACTTTAGTGTAACAGTAGTACTTTGCATAATATCAGGATCGTATCCGCAAGGGTTTCTTTCATATTCAGACACCCATGGGCGCCCGCAGGAATTTTTCTCAGCGGGTCACCGGCAAGAATCAAATTTTTGTGAAAGCGTAGCTGCTTTTTGAAAAGCGGGGGTGAGCGAAATTTCTTTGCTTGCGAAATCCTAAAAATTGCTAAATTGTACACAAAATCGCTAAATAGATCGAACCGAATTCTGAGAGGGGCACTACCCTTGTGCTCGGGCAACATGCAGACACCTTTTTGAAGGTTATGAAGTAAAATGGATATCAACTATCCTCGCGTTGATATTTTCGGTTCAACTCATTTCTTATTTATACACACTGCGCAACATGAGCTAATCTTAAATATCCGCAAAGTTGGGGTTTTCCTTTACACGACGTGTAGATCTTGAAAACATAAGCAATTTTTCTTAGTACCATATACACCAATGTCTTAAGGGAACCGAGGTAAAGGGCTCTGCAACATCAAAAATATCTGAATACCGTCCTGTAGCCGCGACTCGCGACATCCCCAACTGGTACTAGGACACTCGCTCAACTGGGTCGGGGGTCGGGGTCAGTGTGTCAGGTCAGTATGCAACCTTCAACCGACGGTTACGGTCACGCGTGTGTAGAGGTAAACGAACCCGTATAATCGATTGCGTTTCAAAAAACAACAAGCACTAGAGACGTGGCTAGAGAAGTGCAAGTATCAAAAACTAAAGTGTGGCAAACGCTGCGTGAAGAGGGGCTGTATCCGTTTCACGTCCAACGTGTACAAGCCCTTCAACCTGACGATTTTCCAGCAAGAGTGCGGTTTTGTGAGTGGTTGTTGCATCAACATGACAATAATCCGGACTTTTTGAAGTGCATATTGGTGACAGACGAATCTACGTTCACGCGTAATGGGGTGAATAACTTTCGCAACACTCATGTTTGGTCAGTAGAAAATCCGCACGCTGTCCGTCGGGCACATTTTCAACAAACATTTTCGGTGAATCTTTGAGCTGGCATGGTGAACGGTATGCTCATTGGACCATTTATTCTCCCAAATCGATTGGACGGGATGCAATACCTAGACTTTTTACGCAACATTTTGCCTTCCTTGTTAGAAGATGTGCCATTAAGTGTAAGACAATCAATCTGGTTTCTGCACGATGGTCATATTTGTTACCTCTGTTCGTGGTCTACTGGTCTGCACCACCGCCGGCGTCTGCTCGGTAGCGCATCAGCTGATTTCATTTTCTGTTGGAGCGGTATGATTTCGGGCAGAGACGTACTTAGCCCTTCTCGTCAACTGGAGAGTGAGTACTTTTTTCTTTATTTTTTTTTACTTGGTCGCCCTCGTTTCACTACACATTACCTTTGTTATTTCAAGGGTAGTTGTTTCTGAAAAGGAAAACCCCAACTTTGCGGACACCCTGTATAAAAGCAAAGAGACACTCACTCACTCACTGATAATTACGAAATCTCGAAAACTGTTTATATACAGTGATTTTCAAAAAGGCCTCCCCCGTCTTATTTGTTGGAGACTGGTCAAGCTGAAGTTTCAAGATGGCGGCTGGACACCATTTTGAAACATTCGTCACGTGGTATCTCATTTTGAAGCTCCTTGTAAGTACTTTATATCAGTACAATGTAAAGTCACCACCTTTCAAAATGGCTGACTTTCAAGTTGTCAAAGTTGAACATTTTTATTTACTGAATCACTTATAATTCGACAACTTATCATCAATACGATATAGTGTGATGTATCAATTGTTTTCTCTTGAAAAAGTCTATCTGAGTATGTAATAGTATATGAAACATTTCATTAAAAATTTGATATGTCACACTATAACGTTTTGACGAGTATTTGTCGATTCGATGTACAAAAGCATTCTATTTTTTGACAGCTTCCAAATAAGCCAGTTTGTAGTGAGTAATTTTAAATTCCAGGGTTATAAAGTATTCATCAGGATCTTCTAAATAACGTATCACACGTCCCCTCATTACATTTGAAAAAAGGTAACAATATTGGCCCAGTCGCCATCTTGAAATTTATGTCCCATTTTTATTCACACGAATTTCAGCTTGCTAACTTGACCCATTCAAAGAATAAGTAGGAGTATTCAAACGTCACTGTTAGATAACAGCGAGCGTTCAGTCGGTAGTCTTCTAAAGGGCCACACCTATAGATACAGCTCCTCAGCGGCATGGGAATTTGAAATCTCACTGTTTGCCGCCTTGTTTCCAACGTTTGATTAATTTCCTTGGATAATTTTTAGGTTAGGGATTTCTTCTGCTATTACATTATCTTAATTTGTATTTACGGACTGTTTTTTTCTTGAGTGGATATAGGCATAGTTTAAACCAAAAATGTGGTCTTACAAAAATAATTCACTTATATTGAAAATGTTTCTAATGTATCTTAATTTTTTATGTTTATTTCTACTTATGATATTAGTTATTCCTATCTCACTATTTTCAAGCGAATAAAGTCGCGGGTAACAGCTAATTATCAAAATAAAATTGAACTCACCAACTGGCGCCATTTTATAGCAGCATCTGACATCCACCCTAAATTTTTTTGAATTACCACTAAGCAGTTCATCCTGTTGGCCTTCCCAAACAAAAAATCACTCACATTCACTAAACCCACACGCCACCAGTACATTTTGTTGATAGCGATTAAGTTTTCACCAGAAAATCACTAAAAATCCCGCTCCCGATGCGACCGTGTATAAAAACCGCGTAAAGACTGTCAAAAACAATTGAATATCGGCCACCAGACGATACCTTGATTTTGCAGAAATTCCAGTCGACTGCCAGCCGGACATCGCATCCAGGAATTCCTATGCTATTGTCGCATAGTCCAGTGAAACAGGAACGTCAGATGAAACAAATTGATGCTGATCCGAATCTATTTACTTTCAGTCTTTTTGACCATGACCAGCCATATACAAAGTTGTTTCGTGCTTGTGAACAAACACAGTAGGTTATAGAACTAGACTTGGAGAGAGACAACGGAAAATAAACAAGCGGAAATGGTCTACTGAAAAACTCAAAATGCATTCGTACATTTTTGTGGATTTTTTATTTTTACTACATACGCCATTGGACGAGGAAGTATTGTAATCAAGTCATTTTCCACAAGGAAACTGCCTGGTTCTAAAAACGTGAAGGATTAAACACAAACTTAATGCTTTTTCAACAACTGATAGCATTGCATAGAAGTTCAGAATCAACATACTTGGCTTCATTTTATGATAAAATATCGCATCAGTTTTGTATATTTTGTCTATATTAAAAATGTGACCCGTTCCTATATTGTATATTTTTAATAGCGATTGGCGTGTTCCAACGTGTTGATAATTGATAAAAACTCTGGTTTCAGAATGTGACGATGAATCCCGTTCGATAGATTTCGAACAACCGCTGCTGCGCAAGTCCCAACCTCTTTTGGACTCACCGATTGGCCCTGGGGGACAGGCCCTTCATTACCCGCCTGATCTTCTGCCCTTTCCAGCTGCCGCTGCCAGAGCTGCACAGGTAACTATTTCATTAATATAACCATGTTTTTCAGTAAAGTCGGATCCGGGAACATAGGGATCGTAACCCCACTGCTCTAGGCGGGAACAATTCGACCACTAATATTGTTTAGCTTTATAGAGAATCGCAATACTAAAATGTATCAACATCCAAAGTCTTTATGCATTCTTCTATTCGTCAATGTCAGTTCTGGTTGCCCAGATTCCAGAAGATGTCAGGGAGAAAGAAAGGAAGGAAGAAGAAAGAAAGGGAAGAAGGGGATGAGCAAAGAGAGAGAAGTGCGTCAGCCTTGGCGTTGTTGCAGTATTTAAATTGATCCAAAAATTTATTAAGGAGTTTGTAATTGTGGGAAAAATCGTAATTTTAGTTAGCCGCGGTCTTGTGTGCTTACGAACTAACTTTACCTAAGTGGTGAACAGATGAATTTTAGGGGATGAAAAGCCTTTAAAATGCGACTGTAACATATAATGCCCACGGATATTCGATTTCCCGGACATGGGTCCCATAAAATTTTTGTAGCGACAGTGGTACGACCCATAAATTCGGTAGTTCGTTATTTATTTATACCAAAAGTATTATTCATTGTGTTTGATCCTTACAATAAACTACATTTTAGATAACTTTTCATTTTCAGGTGTCCCCAGCTGCCAGCTGTGCGTCCACCGTAGCAGACACAGCTCGCCTGCCATGTCCGCAATCACCGTTACATAGTCCAGTGTACGACCAACTTAGTCTGTACAGATCAGAACAATACAGAACACTGCCCTACTCCAGGTCCCATTCGCCTTTCGTTGCACCTGGTCAGATCGCCCAAGCTCAGCCCAGAGTTCCCAGGCATGGTAAAGGTATTTTTCGTTTATCAATCATCTAGGTGGTGGTCATAATAATCATAACCATAGCATATGGAACAGCTTGTGATAATCTAGCGTCCGTTACATATGTGCAGGATTGTTTGTTTTGACCCTAAGTTAAGTATCGTCAGTAGTTCCTACAATTATAGGATGCCTTTATGGCCTCCTTGCTTGTCATAGTTCTCTACTGTTCCGTGCCAGCGCTGTATTTTGAGGTTATGTTACAAATATCTATTCGCATCATGTTTTTGATTTGTATAATCTGTTGTATCAGCCTAAAGCTTTCTACAGTTCAAAAAGAAAACATGGTCTCACAATGGGAGAGCGCTGACGCTGACACGAAACAGTAGAAGTCTAGAAATACCCTAGCCCAGCATGGATTTGGGGGTGGAAAATCAACAATAAATGCAATTCACTCTTTTTTTTGAGTCAATAATTTTTGGCGAGTGCCCTGTTGGTATATTTGGCGATCTGAGCAGGGCGTTCGCCTGTGTCGATCACAAAATTTTGCTCAATAAACTCAGCCAGTCCGGCACGGGTATCACGTATCTTGAAAAGTGACATTATGCCGATTTTTTTTTTAAATTAAGCTATTTTTGACATTATGTAGGTTTTTCTACTTAGCACTTAGTTATACGTGTTGCCTAAACGTCATGAGGCTTGTTATCAATCTTTGACTCTAGATGTGATGTAAAATCTGCTTCTGAGGTGGAAGTACTGGAGGTCTAACCTAAGCTGTATGGTGTATGTGTTAATGATAATTACATTGGGTTCTTGTCTCAAATACACTTAATTGAGATTCAAAGCTAGAAATTACATTCTGGAAATTACATGTACAAATTTGCTGAATTTCAAAAATGAGAGAGATAAGAAATAATTACCTATATTCACTGTACACTGTCGAATTACAAACCATATACATGCTAACAGTAATTACATACAACGCGGGCGCGGTGATGATTTCCAGTAATTCTCCTCAGTTTTTCGTAATCTATAACTTTGAACATAACCCCTCTTCAGAAAGCACAACATAAAAATAACCAGTCAGGCACAGCCATTAGATATACTTCATTTGCAGCATATTCAGTTTATCATTTTCTCGCACAGCAAATATCACTGATTTTATACACATGCAGACCAATACCAGATGCGATGTTGCTATTCAACCAACTTTCTTCTCAGAGATAAAAACTACAAACAAGGACCATTTGGCCTCACAAAACATATGCAACCAATAATGCGTGTAGTTTAGTTGAGCGATTCCTCCTTAGATAGACGTTCTCAACGATCCTAGTGAGCAAACGTGGAATGAATGTTTGCGCCCTAAAAACTACCTAGTTTGAAAGATGACATCTTATAGGTTTTTTCGACGTTTTGTATATTTCTTACATGATACCCATGCGGAGTATCTGAATCGGCTTATAGTTGGTTAGAGTCGTTTCTCAGGGGTTGGAAGCAATATGAATCCATACCACAAAAACACAATAATTCAATTATGCAAATGGAATCCTCATCAACCACTGTCAACGTGGGCATGCCACAAGGATCCATTTTAGGACCAATTTTATTTAACTTTTCACTTTATATGCAGATGACATGTCTGTATTACTGTCTGACGTATGTGATGTAAATGTTATATAATAATAATAATAATAAACCGTCTTTTATTAGAAAAAACAAATTACTGATAATGCATATATTATTATCTATAATTAGATTAGTCAGCAGCTAATGGCAAAGTTTAGCTATGGCAGCTATTCTTAAGAATAATAGATGGTAAAAAAGTACAGCTGTAAAGAAAATAAAAGGAGGAAAATGTCCATGTAACTGATTACAACCTAAATAAAAATTAGCTTAAAAATATAATGCTGGAGAAAAACACCTTTAAGAATCACCATTGAGCAGAAGAGCTCTTAAGTGTTTTTTAAAACTATACAGCGGCAGGCATTTTGTTCTGTAATCTAAGCTATTGTACAACATGCATGCATTATATGAGAAGGACCTGTTAAAAACAGATGAACTATGAAGTGGCATTGTTAAAGCGAATGTGTTACGGATATGTCGTTGTATCTAAGTGCAATAGATGATGAGTGGTTCTCGAGGCACCTCCTGTATCTCAGTTCGGATAAAGCTTCATCATTGAGGTTCCGCAATGCTCACAAGAAGCTCAGTCCCTTAGATCTTAAAATTAAAGCCAACCTATAATTAGAACACCAAGAAAAGTTGACGACAACCTCACTTTTAGGTACGCTTGAAACATTGTTTATTTGACATGCTTTTACGCCATCAATTAACTTTTTAGCTTATAGGTATTTATTTAATTTTGATTAATCCAGTGTCAAGATGGATAATAAATATTATTATTAAAATCGAAAAGCTTCGTTCATCTGCAGCATTGTCATTATCGAAACTTTGAACATAATGTAATTACTTGATCTCAGATAAAATAATTGTTTTCTCCGCAGGTTATGTGACAATGCCGCGCCGCCCCCGCCAGCAATCCTGGTCTTCTGAACCACCCCTACTGTCCGACCTCGGCGAGCCCTTGTACGACAATCTGGGCAAGCGGACTACGGCTACAGGAGCCATCAGCACCCAGTCTTTGGACAAGCTGGACAGCAATGGGAAGGCCACGGCCACCAGCACTCCCAGAACCAATAGGATGTTGAGTCCGGTTACCACCCCCGGGGGATGCGACCCCATCCAGGAATTGCATGAACATTCGCCGCCAACGATGGCCAGCCAAACGTTACCCAGGTAAGAATATAGGATTAACAAGCGAGGGCGTGAAGATGAAGTTGTGTCATTGACACTCGCAAATAGGCATGAGACATACGACTCTCGCTCATTTCGTTCATCTCTCTTTAGTGAGTCGTTCATTTGAACCATACGATTACCGACCGGCCTCGAAGCTGACGAGAGTATTGTGTTGCCTATAGTAACGACTCACTGAGTCAGAGAAGTATACATCATACTATGAAAATGAAATGAACGGGTGGGTTGCCGGTGTTATTGTATTAATATGTTTGGTTGAAATTGAATATATCGAATGTATACTGTCTTCCGAAAAAAGAAGGGATACTGTCGTTTGGTTTTGAGGAATTACCGAATTCAGAATCAAAATACAATTTTTGCTCTCAAATCCCATCATTTCAACGTATAATTTAATGAGATATCTCAAAACAAAACAATTGGGTTCCCTAGATAGTGTGTGTACTGTTACCACGTTGTCAGTTCGCATTTCATTTGCTGCATGCCACCTGCAGACACGCTTTGCACAATTGAACGAGCCATATGTAACAAAAGAGTCGTTCAATCATCGCTCACTTAGATGAGTCATTCATTTTGAACGACTCGTTCGCGAACTACACATGACTACTCACAGAGGGTTTCAATCTCTCACGAGAAGGGCGTAGACTAGCCAATTCGTAAGATTAGATAAGCGTTTTTACTTCCTATGCGATTGGACGAAGGAAGTATTGTAATCGCGAAAAATTTCGAATATAAGATGCTGTGTTTTTTTGATGTTATACGACATGAACACCACGAAAAACCATGTTACTCATTTCCGTCTGTCTGTATGTCTTGCCGCTAATCCTTGGCCTGTCCATAACTTGAAAACTGCCGCTTGGTTTTTGATAAAACTTTTACTCAAGATTAATACTATGCCAAGGACGAAAATGCTTTGTAATCTTTAAAAATCGGTCCAGTGGCGGCAGATAGAGCGGCGAAAAAAGAAAACATAAAAGTCGCTTAAAACTTCGTTTTTTGATGTTCCAGAGGAAGGTTTTTTGTAGAGATTGAAAATTGGGGTTGGGGGTTGTAGGGTTGTAAATATTATACAGGGTGTACCGTAATGATATGCGAATATTTCAGGGGGTGAATCTACATGAAAAATTAATCTTAGTTTGCTTTATAAACTATGGTCCAAAAATGTTTCCTTACAAAAACTCGGGGTGTTGAAGTTTTAGGAAAAAAATGGCAATTAATTAATATTTTCAGAACCGGTTCAGATATTTCACTGATATTTGGTACGAAGTAAAAGTTGATATAGTTGCATATTTTTCAATGCAAAAATAATTTTTACCTTCAACACTGGCGTGCGTACGGGTATTGACTTTGATATTTTTCAAGAAAAAATGGTACGCCAATGGTTTTTTGCCAAATAAAAATTGTTTTTGAATTCCCCGTTCAATTTAAAACGAATGGTCTTTCTCGAATTGTATTCCTTCGATGCGCCATTTTTGAGTAAAAAATAAAAACCGTTCTATTGTCTAAAGTAAGCCACACACTGTGAGACTTGCCTCGAGGTACGTCGCGAGGCGAGGTCTCATGATATCGGCAGACGTCAGTCCCCAGTCACTCGTCACCCCACACCTTGAGACAGTATCGCAGACGGTATCACACAGTTCGCTATTTTTTTGAGAGTGAATATAAAATGGCCTTTCATGAATATTCAAAAAAACAAAAAGTTGCACTTGGTGTTGCCATTGGTTTGGTACTATTCGAGGAAAAACAGGAAAAAAGAAAATGGTCAAAGAATTGGTTTCTTGAAAGGAAGAAGTTCTCTCACATGCCACTTTTAAAAGAATTGCAGCAAAAAGAACCCAAAGATTTTTTGAACTATTTGCGTATGAACGAAAAACAATTTAATTTTCTTTTAAATTTAATCCGGCCAGACATTGAAAAGAAAAATACTGTATTAAGAGAAGCGGTATCAGCTGAAGAGCGATTGGTCGTTACTCTTAGATATTTAGCTACTGGTCGAAATTATGAAGATCTGAAATTTTCCTGTGCTATTTCTCCACAGTTACTGGGTGAAATTATTCCAGAAACTTGCTGGGCAATATACAACGCTTTAAAGGAAAAGTATTTGAAGGTACGTTTTTATAATATACTTTTTATTATTTTAAATGCAAAACATATTAAACATTAAACTTAGCTAATGCTGTCAAAAAATACTTATAATTCAGTAAACGAGTAGTAATACAGTTAACGTAATATTCCAGTGGCAGAACTAGTCTTGGAAGTTTTCATAATATGAATAAATATCTCCCTGTGCAGTTGGTTGTTGAGGTTGCTGCTCAGATTGCTGTACTGTATAAGCTATATTGGAAAAAGTATTACTCGGTTCCACATGGGTGCGGGCCTGTCGTATTTCAAAGTTTTCATTTAACTTATTCAGTTTGCCGTAGTACATTACATCATTTATAAGCTTTTCTGCAATTACTCTCTGATTAGATGTCATTTGCTTTAAATCAGAAGCAAATTTTTTTCCTGCTATGTCGCAGGGATTTTCAGGTTCCGCACATGTAGGGGGTTTAGACAAAGCCCTATGAGCTAGTTCCACAAGTTCATTTTTTTCTCCTCCATTCCTTTTTTTCTTTTTAATATTTTAGTTCCTAGTGTTGGAGTTGATGTTGAAGCCGATGAACTTGGCCTAGTAGTACTTGGTAAAGATTCCGAGTGAGCAGGAGGAGAAAAAGCGTTATCATAACTGTCCTCATCTCGAACATTGTTTTGATTCTAAAACAAATAATTATTATTAATTCAAACAATTTAATACTACTTTTTTATTACAGTTTCCATCTTCCGAGGAAGAATGGCGCGGGGTTGCAAAGGAGTTCGAATGTTTGTGGCAATTTCCCAATTGCGTGGGTGCGATCGATGGAAAACACATACAAATAAAAAAACCTAGAAACAGTGGTTCATATTATTATAATTATAAAGGAAACTTTAGTGTTGTGCTAATGGCAATTGCAAATGCAAAATACGAATTTATAATGGTTCATTGTGGGACCAATGGTAGGGTATCAGATGGTGGAGTTTTGAGTGAAACCAAGTTTTATGAAAAGCTTATAAATAAAAAATTATGTATGCCCGATCCGACAGAACCCCATGCAACCAATGTGATGTTACCATATACATTTGTTGGAGATCAGGCTTTTCCATTAACTGAAAATTTAATGAAACCATATCCAGACAAAAATTTAACAAGAGAACAAAAAATGTTTAACTACCGACTCAGTAGAGCACGCAGAGTATCAGAAAATGCATTTGGTATTATGGCCTCACGATTTAGAATTTTTCACACAATAATTAGCATAAATGTAAGACATGTGGATGCTGTAGTATTAGCCAGTTGTGCATTACACAACTTTTTAACACGAAATGGCTCAAATCGATATATACCGCCATTGTATGCAGACTCTGAAGACGTACATTCCGGAGAAATAATACCTGGCCAGTGGAGAGAAATAGGAGAACTTATACCTCTGCAACGAATAGCGCGTGCTTCAAATGTGTCTGCGAGAGAAATTCGAGATAATTTTAAAAATTATTTCAATAACAGCGGAGCAACCGATTTTCAGGACAGGATGGTCGTTTAAAGAGTATTAAGTTTTTATACTGAAATGTCTTAAATAAAATAATAAACTACTTACTGTTATTTCACTCTCTTGACTTTCGTCTTCGCTAGTAATAGTTTCAATTCCTTTTCTAGGGATTTCAGTGTCCGAAATAAAACTTAACAGGTCAAAATACCAAAGGCTGGGTACATATACATCATCAGCTTGTGTACCCGTAGGCTTCGACTTCTGTACTTTTTTCAGCTCTCTTCTAAAAGCACAGCGCATGTTATGTATTTTTTTTGAGACATAATCTCTATTTGCCATTGGATATATTTCTTTGCATTTTTCCACCAGTCTATCTAACGCTGAGTTTTTCAAATTTCTATCCATATACGTTTTAGCTTTCACATCCCATAAACATGGGTTGCTCCTGTACATTTCAATAAATTCTTCCCAAAATTCTCTTTCCTTATTCATCTTCTTTATTACATATAATAATTATAACAATTTCGGAACAACGAAATCTCACGAGATTCATGCGACTTTGGCACACACGTTGAGACTGGTCAGATTTTTCCTCGCGGCAAGTCTCAGTCTCCCGCCCGCGTCGGTCTCGTTGAGACGGTATCACACGATACAAAAATTATCGATACCGCAACACACACCATGAGATTTGTTATCAGAGATCTTGGTCTCGCGGCATGTCGCGAGGAAGATCTCACAATGTGTGGGCTACTTAACTTGCAAAATTATTTAATTGGAAAAATTAAACACATGAACAACAACTGACAACATAAACAACATTAAAACCAACGAAATGATTTCAAAAATTGTTGAAAATGACCCCCTTCACTTAGTATGCATGGTTCAGCCCTCCTTCTCATGGAATTGCGCACTCGTTGAAATATCCCTGGAGTGATTTCTTTCTATCACAAGCTGCAACTATTCTTTCTCTTAATTCCTCTACAGTGTTAATGAGACTTGTGTACACTAGTGTCTTAAGATAGCCTCACAAAAAGAAATCTAAACTGTTGAGGTCTGGGGACCTGGGTGGCCATTCTTGGGGCCCACCGCGGCCAATCCAACGATTTGGATAAGCAGTTTGTAAGTCATTACGAACCGCTACACTGAAATGCGCTGGTGCACCATCATGCTTGTACCACATGTTGTTTCTTATTACTAACGCGACATCATCAACCATCAAAGGCAACTGTTGTTGAAGAAAATTGAAGTAAGCTTGCCCGTCAAGAAGAATGGGCCAATAAACTGGTTGCCGATAATTCCTGCCCATACGTTAACCGAAAATTGGTGTTGGAAAAGGGTTTCGCTTTCGGCATAGGGATTTTCTTCTGCCCACAAATGATTATTGTGGAAATTCTGAATGGCATTTCGAGAAAAATTAGCTTCGTTCGTGAACAGAATCATTGATTCAAATTGCGGATTTTGTGTAATTTTTTGAAGATACCACTGGCAAAAGGTCACACGCCTTGGAAAATCAATGGGAAGTAATGGCTGTACTCTTAAAATGTGGTAAAGATATAACAAACAATCCACTAAAATTCTCCAAACAATTTGATGGCAAATATTTAACTATCTAGCGATCTTCCTCGTACTCGTTTCAGGATGTTCTTCGAGTTCGTGCAGCACTGCTTCTTCAATTTCAGGTGTTCTCACATTTAGAGGTCTATCTTCAGATGTTCCTATTCGGAAAGAACCAGTTGCAACAAGACGACGATGAATATTAGAAAAGGTTCGATTATCTGGCAAAGCACGATCGGGATATCTCTGGTGATAAATCCGTCTGGCTTGCTCACCATTACCGTCGGCAAGGCCATATACGTAATGCATTTCCGCCATTTCTGCATTTGAATAATTCACCATTATTAACAAGATTGTAAAAACTAAATAATGAAAAAGCGAACAGATTTGAATAGCAGAAACTTGTCAGATGTCAAAAGCCAGTGACAAATTCCAGAGCAACTAGATATTTGTTGCTAAATTGCATTCTTCAATTATTACATTAATTTTCTCGGACAATAGAACGGTTTTTATTTTTTTACTCAAAAATGGCGCATCGAAGGAAAACAATTCAAGAGACATCATTTGTTTTAAATTGAACGAGGAAATCAAAAATAATTTTGTTTGGCAAATAACCATTGGCGTACCATTTTTTTCTTAAAAAATGTCGAAGTCAATACCCGTACGCACTCCACTGTTAAAGCTAGCATTTATTTTTACATTGAAAAATATGCAACTTTATTAACTTTCACTACGTACTAAATATCAGTGAAATATCTGAAGCGGTTCTGAAAATATTAATTAACTTCCATTTTTTTTCTAAAACTTCAACACCTCGAGTTTTTGTAAGGAAACATTTTTGCACCATAGTTTATAAAGCAAACTAACATTAATTTGTCATGTAGATTTACACCCTTAAATATTCGCATATCATCAAGGAACACCCTGTATATCTGGTATTATTCAGACGTTCTATCATTAAGAAACTTCTTAACCCGGTATGCTTTTGTAAGTGATGACTCGACTGTTTTTATATCTACACATATATTTTTCTGAATTTTCGCCTAACCTTTAATTTGTATTACTGAGTCTATGATGGTCTTCTGAATATTTCGTCAAGTAGATCGACTCAGTACTTTCACGCATTGATGTACAACAGACATGGAGTGACAAACCAAGGTTAATGAAAAACACGAACTTTTGCTATGCGGATATCTTTGAGCAACAGAAAACTTGTGAAATGAAGTTCGATTATTATCGCGAGATACTTTGTTTAGGTAGTAATAGATTTTGAAAATTGATTCGGGGCGGCGGAACTACAGACAAAATAATAAAAATCGCTGTGAGATAGTATTACAACGTTTCAGAGGTTCTTGCTGATTTTCATACATTGTTTGGAAGCGCTGACAATTGTAGGTTGGAAGCTGTATGCGGTAAATTGTTATGAATTTTGACATATTTGATGTCAGTGAAAGACCTTCTATTTTTAGGAAGCTTCTGATCTCAGTGATACTGCACGTGTTAGTCACACATATTTGCCCTACATCTGTAAATGGAAATATACTAATAATTACGATTCGATTTCCCGTTTTGGAGGCACTTTTCTCTCTTTCTTTTCTTTTTCAAACACAAGTGACAATTCTGATGACAATATCATTTGTACTTGAAAAAGGCCATCGTGGTGACCGTGAAATGTTTCTACTTTTACTCAAATTAATTTTCGAATGTTTTTCCAGGAACCACGTTCTAAGCTCATCATCGAAGCCCCCAGTCTCCTCGCGAACCCAATGGGCGCGATCGAACGCCGAAGCGCTCCGCAGCCCTGAGAAGCGCAACTCGACCGCTTCCTTACCTCCAGCATCGCTGGCAGCACCGATCGCTGACGGCCAGCAACCGCCCACAACGACGAAGACGACCAAAGTTCCTCCAAGGCCACCGCCCAAACCCAAAAAGAGGCTATCCACGTCTGGTACAAGCACCGGGCCGCTGTTTGAGGATGAAGGAGAGGATGGCACAGAGGTATGTCTTCTATTTGCACTAATATTTATGAATTTCGAATCTCTTCGATAAATTAATGAAATATGTGATGGATACAAAAGCGTAAAAAATTACCAGATTTGGTGGAAAATCACCACACCTGGCAACCCTGGTCAGTTTGTAAGCGCATCTATATGATGGCGTGGAAATAGGAGGGTTGCGTAAGTCTGGTTGCCTATACGTTCAGCTTGACGCAAATATAAATAAAATGGTGATTCTGCATTTTTCCGCTTGGTATCACTGCATGTCCGTCAGTGCATTATTGGAAATTGAGCCTCATGTGTTCTGTGTTAATTGAAAATTCAGACATTCGGATAGGGATATAAAAAACCTTTTAACGCGCCTTTAACGTTGTGAGGGTACATGATTTTTTTTTATCTTATACGCTCCCAACTCCGGTAAATCTATGCAAATATTAGCCACATTTCTCACATTTTACCCATACATTTGCCTTTAAAAAGACTTAGTTATTTTGACTGACTTAATACGTTCAATTTCTGTTTTACATGTCCGTAACTCAATATTTCCTCAGAGCATTTAAATTGCTCTGAACGTTGCTTGAGAAGTGCAGAGTCAAACTACTTGACGCAATTATTGATACTCATAACAAAGCTTCCGGGATTCTAAACAAGAAAGCAAATAGATTTGATGTGAAATAAAAAGATTGCATAGATATGGACTTGTAAGTCTCCGATTTTAACACATTTTTACGATATTAAATATACACTTCAGTTATTTCTTTTTAAAAACCCGATTAATGCCAATATATACTAAGTGACATATAAATCCGAACACCCAGTTTAAATGGTTTTATTTTAATAAAAGTTGGTGAATGTATTTATCTTACTGTAAATAACAAATGAAAAAATGTTCACCCTTATCAGTTGGACATTCCGGTTTTTATACTGCTTTTTTTTAATTCACTAACGCTCTAAAAATGAATATTTCAGCCGCAGTAAAGAATCAACGTTGGCGGATTTTGGTTCTTGACATCCTTTACGATCGGTTACGATGCCTAGAGTACGGAGACCTGTACGATTTCGTCAACTTAGTGAGTTTGATAGGTGCCGTATAGTGGGACTTCGGGAAGCTGGACTTTCTTTTCGGGCAATTGCAGTTAGAGTGCAAAGAAGTGTAGACACTGTGGTTAGGTGTTGTCAGGCATGGCTTCGAGAAGGCCGTACGCAAAGATCAAGGGGCACTGGACGCCGCCGTAGAACAACAGACCGTGAAGATCGCCGCCTAAGATTATTGGCCTTCAGGGACCGTTTCTCCACTACCAGGTCCATTGCAAATGAATGGTTTGCAGAACACGGAAGACCTATTGGCATGCGAAGTGTTTACCGACGAATGAGAAGTTTTGGCTTGTTTTCATACCGGCCACACTGGGTCCTCCCTTTAACTCGAGAACACCGACGTAATCGCCTTGAGTGGTGCACACAACGGTCACTCTGGGATCATGAATGGAACAGTATTGTCTTTAGTGACGAGTCTCGATTTTGTTTAGGCATGCACGATTGTCGTGCCAGGGTTAGAAGGCGACGTGGTGAAAGGAGGAATCCACAGTTTTATGTTGAAAGACATGTTCATCACACTGTTGGAGTTATGGTTTGGGGTGCTATAGCTTATGGTTCCAGGTCACCTTTAATCTTCATCGGAGGTAACATGAACGCGCAGCGTTATATCCACGAAGTTCTAGAACCCCATTTTTTACCCTATCTTGCCACCCTGGCAGATCCAACTTTCCAACAAGATAATGCCCGACCACATGTTGCAAGTGTCACAATAGACTTCTTTCAACATAATGATGTCACATTGTTACCATGGCCACCAAGATCTCCCGACGTATCTCCAATTGAGCACGTGTGGGATATGATGGGTAGGAGATTGCTCAATTTGCAACGTCCTCCTCAGACTCTAGAAGCACTTCGAGAGGAGTTGGTGGTTGCCTGGAATGAGATACCACAGGAGGACATTGACCACCTGATCATAAGCATGCCCAGGCGCGTTGGAGAATGCGTAGCACATCAGAGTGCATCCACACATTATTAAAGGTCAAAGGGCTTTAAAGCAGTGCAATCATTTTGAAATTTTTATCATTTACTTATTATGCTTCATTAAGTACTTATACAAAATTTTATTAAAATAAAACCATTTAAACTGGGTGTTCGGATTTATATGTCACTTAGTATATTTAATAACCGTTGTTGTTGCAGGTGTGAGACTGGCTTAGGTCAGTGCACGAGGCACTGATCGTCGCGACAGCTGCGGCAGCCGGAACTTAGCCGGAACCGCAACCGGAACCGGAACTGGAGCAGCAAGTGATCCGTATGAGTTGACGTGAACGCGTGTGTTAAGATATTACTGTAGTTGTAAATGATGCACGGGAAGCCCTGTAGGCTGGTCGCATGCGGTATAAATATAGAGAGGGTTCGATTTCGACCTGACAAGGGTTAATGTTCTATTTGAAATTCATTTTTATTTCGGTTGTGTGTTGTAAGGCACTATCCTCACCAAAAGCAACACGTTGGTAACTCGACTTCAACCCGATTTCGTCTGGTTCTGTGGTTGTGAAAAATGTCATGAGGTACAGTTCTTTTCAAGATTTTTCACGATTACAATATCATACGTAAGTGAACAGATTCACTAACTGTACCTTGTGCTGAAATTAACTTCTCAACGCAGCATCTACTCACTGTTGCACACAAACATGGATTGAGTGACAAGAGGGCCGCTGTTTTCATTCACCCGCTAAAAATACTCCAATAAATTTAAAAGACTGTTGTGGTATTTGTATTCATCAAACTCCCAATACAGTAGGAATAATAAACCATAACAAATCAAGGATCTGCGGAACACCTTGTCTGCATACATATTTCGTGAGTCTGATAATCTGAAACATAATTCACTTACTTCTCACATTTCTTTTATCAACTTTACCTCTCCTGGAAAGTTTTCAACACCGCTGCTACAACTGAATCGCTTCAAAGAACATAAAAACGCGATGGAGAAGTGCTTTTAACGCATTATCAATGATTTATTGCGAATACGTTCGCAACCTTAACTGCAGGGTTACAGTGACATCCACAAGCCAAACTCGGGTTGGAATCGAATTGCTTTTGGCGACTATTCCTTAACTTGACCACAAAAGCCAACATTGACAAAACACCATAACAACTGTCATTTAAAAAACGATTCTAACTGCCTTGTTTTCGCCAAAAAAACGAACTCTAAAATCGACCAAATTGGTGGGGCTTGGATTTTAAATCGTGATGTGTACTAACTAAAAATTCTATTCAATTTAACTGAAATTGCGAGTACTGCTTCAAAATTTGTATACCCAAGGAATAAAAAAGCTCGGACAATGTAACTCGGAACAAGAAGAATACGGGAAAGATTTTACTAAGACTTTCATGTAAGGTTGTGAGGAAATCAAAGTTTATTCGAAAAATGAATCCTCGATGTTGGATTTCATCCAATTGAAACACATTTTAATTCAAAACTCCAAGTCCATCAAATAAATCTATTGTTATAAAAGTGTCTAGTTAGAAACTTGAATATTTCTTCTATATTTACAAAAAAAAATGGCCCATGTCAAGTTCGGAAAACAATCTTCTCATTTCCTTACCACCAATTTAACTTGTGGAAAACAATTTTATCTTGATTTCAATATCGATAACATTTTGTTCCATTTCAAATTTTGAAGAGCTAAATTTGGATTTAGTAAAAAATAAGTCTATCCGTTAAACTGATAATTGTCAGATATTAAACCATAATAATTGGCTAATGGTGGAGATTCTTATAATTTTCCAGTGAGATCGGACACTTGACTTTTGTATTGCCTTTATCTTCCTTACGGAATCACTGATGTTAATTCAGTCGAAGACTTGTAGATATGTTAACGTTTATCTATGTCCAGATTGAAAGCATGGATGAAAACAAATTGTGCTGAATCAACTGAAAGTTGAAATCCCATCAAAAAATATTGAACAGAAGTTACAAAACAGCAAACAAAACATCAAGCATTGCCTCTAAATTTTATTCTAGCCAAAAATTGACCATTTAATACGTGCTTGATATTCTGTCAGATTCTGTTTTCCTGGCCAATGAATCCAGCAGATTTCTAAAAAATACTATTTATATTACGTCCCAAAAAATTAATCAAATAGAACTCTATATATGTCTTGTGAAACACACTTACGTACGCAAGTCTCAAGAATCCACTAACACATGGAACTTGATCATGGTGGTCCAAATTTATATGGAAACGTAATGTATCAAAAATCTTTGGGGCGACAACTGATCTCTTTATATTCTATGAGTACACGGAGTGATTTTTAAGTATACATAGTTACGTTTTAAATGAAACACTAATAAACCTTTGGTGATTTATTATATATTTATGTAAAATATGTTTCCAGTTGTAGATAATACGAATGAACGCTTGAATCCTTGAATGTAAAGGTCAGTCTGTTTAAATGCATTCGGCATGTCAAAATCTAATGAAAAATGTAAAGACTATTCACCACGATATTTCAGCACAGCCATACATATTAGTCTTGATATTCAGTAGAGAAAAGATTCACTTCCTCTAATCATTGATGAATGATTTGAAATGTAGTCAACAGTTATCTCGCCTGGTTCTTTTTTATTGTACACCGAAATTTCCGAATAACTTTCGGCGAAGCAATTCCCAAAAAAGCGTTAACATTACTAGAAATTACGAAGCAGCCATTTGAATGATTTCGACCATCCCAAATTCTCCCCATGAAGGTGATTTTTCAACATCGGGAAGAGAAGAAAGTCACAAGGACTCAAGTCGGGCGATTAAGGAGGCTGAGGAGCCACATGAATGTTTTTACTGGCCAAAAACTCGGTTATTGACATTGCTGCAGTAGTATTATCGTGATATAACACCCTGTTGTTCTTGACCTGATGTACGGTGGTGATAGTCAAATTTAACACTTCACCAATCATTCTGACCGTCAACCGGATTCCGTCGATATTTTCATCGGTTCGTGGTTCATTTTCGATCGACTCTCTTCCTTCTGAAAATGCCTTAAACCAACGAAAAAGCTGGGCTCTCAACAAGACACTATCTGCATAGGTCTCTTTAACAGTAATTTCCATTGCACTGTGCAAATACTGATAGCACACCGTTGCTTGAAATTGATGCTCAACATCGCTGCGGGCAACCAAATGACTCGGGCGAGTTCAAACTTGTACTGAAGGTGGATCACATGTTCCCCTCCAACCCCGGCGCCTACAGTGTTGCCAGATCGAACGCTACGTTGCCAGTCTCATCACTTAGTTTACAGACCTCGTATTTTGAATCTTACTTACCTATTATCCGTTATTTGATGTCACGTTTTGAGGTATTGTACTATCGTGAAATTGGTATTCAGACAGATTCTAATTCACTGAAGATGTGTGAGCCTAAATAATTTTTTGGTAGCTAATAGATTTCTAAATGCGAACGACTTTAGAAAGACTGACTTGGGGAACTTTTAAATTGGTTATAGGCTTAGTAATTTATTAAAAATAATATAGAACAATGAATGTAACGGTGGCATGGAGATTTTAAAAGAGTGTTTTCAAGCAGGGTTCCTAAATAATTTTCGAGTGAAACAAGCATCTTCATAGCCACCACCAGTGCCTTAATATGAAATTGTAATGGATAAAATACGATGTAATTATATTGAATATAGGCCGAACATCAGGAGTTTCAATTACTGCAATAATACCAAGTTAAAGGACTCTTCATACCTAGATCCACGTCTATGTATGTCCAAACCCAATCAAAATGCGAGAAGATCCATCGCTGACTAAGCTCAATTTTCATTGTTTAGTTTAAATGGGATTCTTATCGGAATTCTGAATGCTTACCGGAACATATTTCAATAAACCTCAAAGACTTCTGAAGCTCGGCCTACTATTAAATGGACTCTTGTGTATAAACTAAAACCAGAAAAATAACGAATCGCTTTTCATCCCCTTGATGTATGCATGTTTTACCGTTCTCGGGCTTCCACTCCGACTGATGCTATAGGCGAATAAGCGCAAATAGGTAGACGATTACATAATTTATTTTATGTTTCTAAGCAGCCCAGTAATCATACAACCGTATCATTGAATAGACTCAGAAGTTACCCTCAAAAGCATAAGTATAGCATTATATCATAGTCAATGAAAATGGCAACACTGTAGTGGATGTTGAACGTCTAGCGTGAGATATGAGGGACAGTGTTGCCATATGCATTCTCTATGCCACTGACTGAGTAGCTTTAATGGTAAAGCCCAGCACATTTAAGTACCTCATAAGCTCTTATTTTAGAGCACACCATAAACATTATTATTTACATCAAACAGAAAGGTCCATTAAATATACGGTTAAGTGGAGAACCATTTTAAAAAAAGGCATCCTCTGTATATTTCCACATATAGTCCTGACGCCAGCCAATCCAATATGAGATACCAATGCCTATAAATGACCTAAATCATTTCTTTTAAGTAATATTGAAATTATCTGTTATCCTAGCACACTAAAATACCAATATGTGTTTTACTGGTTCTGCTACGAAGTGTATTAAAATTACTGGGCTGAGTGTAGTTACAAAATAACAAAAGTAAAATCTGATGTAACGTTGACCACAATAAACAGATTGTCCAGTTATGTGTTAAACTTCAAAATGTAAAGGATGTTATGAATTGTTGTTAAGACACATCTTGACAGAATTTGTTAATATTTTTTATTGAGTATAAAGCTCGATCCTCTACAAGTGCTTTCGGTAATATGCTTACATAAAATGCAAGGACATCTTACTTATATGTATTCTGTATATATCCGTCAAAGAAATAAACTATATGACAATTGTAGATACTAAACGAAATTCTCAAATCATTCATACCATTATCCAATTAAGTGCTGTTAATTTTAAGTTTATAATATTTGTCATACCTTCTATTGAGATATCTTATTGACCAAACTTTAAAACCTTATAGAATATATTTAATATGTTTTAAAGTGTTGACAAAGAATACAGATTTTATTTTTGTTATAATTAATTCTGTAATAAAAGGGTATGTTGCTTATATTTTTATTTTTATATGTAATTTTAGATATATAGTTTTGAGTTGCTCAACTCATCATTTTGTGATGTACATTTGAAAATTATTCTTTAAATCTCTGCTGTATGCACTGTATATAAAATATTCGTATATCATATTCTGCAATCTAAAATGTACAGTATACCAATCTTTGAGTCAATATATAAATATGGTTTTTGTATGATTATTTATTGATGAACCGTCCCCAAAACAATAAATTATGTTGTTTTGTATTAGTTAGTAGTTTCGAGACGTCCAGAAACCTTTCATTAAGGGTGAAGACCCGGATTATTCACTCCACAACCCTTAGTGCCCATAACTGTACAGAAATTCTCAAGTTGATGTAGAATCACCTTTTCGGCAGGCTTAGAACCAACCCTCAGTAGGTTAATGGAATGATAATCCTGGGGGAATATCAAAAGCACCTTCTTTGGAATCTATATAACCTCATCATATGACATTGATTATAGTAATTTGATCCTCACAGGTGATTAACGAACCTCGAAACTGCTGGTAAGTGTTACATGTTACATGTGTATATTTTTTACCAAAGGAATCAGTCAATAGTACTCAATGTTCATCCTGGACCCGAAAGAGCGTGACCATACATTTCATATCATGCTGTCAACGTCATACACCCAGAAGTCTAACTTCCATAGCTGAATAGGCTGAAACACACACTCCAGGACCAGGGCGGCTAAATTATTACGCCACGCTAGAACTTGTGACGTTACAGCTTTAACGCGAAACTGCGTTTGAAGTTTTTAGGGCCAGTTTTATCACTCCGCGGAACACAATGAAAACAAAATATATTTTTTGTGTAGTAAGTAAAATTATTGGATTAATACTATGTTGCATATTAGGCAAAAATATAATTAAATTCAAAGTTGTTACAAAATAATATAATATGCATCATAACACTGTTTACCCTTATCTTATTTACACACTACTACCTAAATCACATATATAGAAATTGATGGAAATATGAGTAAAAACCAAATTTACCTCCTAGCTAAAAGTATAGATCAACATAAGGATAGTACACAACGACACCACCAAACCAAGAATTATAGAATCTCGCCTCTTCTTCAAATTTATCCTTTGAATAAGGCTGCTGATCATTGGGTATCTGTTTGAAATATTATTGAATCTCGTCTGCAGTTTCTTTAGGGTCTGTCTCTGTGAAGTCAAATGCTCTCTGGTCTCCATTGCAATTGATATTTGATCATTGACCAAACGATCAGAGCTGTTGATAAAAAAAATTTATGTGATTTGTGATAGAACTGAAGCAATGTTATTTCAAAATTTCGGCAACAACAATAAGGGAAGCTTCAAAGGCCTGTTATAGGTACAATTCAGACTAGGAAGGAGCCAGTTAAAAATAGTCGCACATAGTCTATAGTGAGGATGGAAGTGCATTTATATTTTTTATAATGCGAGTGTTAGTAGCTGTACAGTAATGGACAAAAGTATATAGACAAATTAATATTGTGCTGTATTTCATCTTTAACTTGTTTTATTAATACAAAAAACCGGAATACATAATTCGCTATAGCACAATACTCACTTATACATCAATAAATTCATTAGACTCCCTTCAATTAAAAATTAACCACCTGGCATCGTCTCGGCATAAATTGTAGAAATTTCTTGATATAAGATTCATCAATCTGTCTCCACATTTGCTCTAAAGCGGCAAAAAGTTCATCCTTGTTTGAACAATTTTTATCTCGTATTTGCTTAACTAAGTATTCCCGTAGATTTTCAATTTGGGTTTATATGGGATACTGTGAAGGCCATTTGAGAACTGGTATTTTTTCATCCAGAAAGAATTTCTTTGCGAGATTTGAAGTGTGCTTTGGGTCATTATGTATGTATGTGTATACAACTTATCCATAATGCCATCAATTCTATGTAAAGGTCACATCCCATACGCCAAAAAGCACCCCCAAACCATAACAAACCTGCCTCCATGTTTGACAGTGGGCAAAGTGTACTTGGAGTTCAATCTTTGTCTACTAGGACATCTAACGAAATGAACACCATCTGATCCAAACATATTGAACTTGGATTCGTCACTGAAACATACCCTCTTCCAGTCACAGATGCTCCAATCAAGATGCAACCGTGCAAAGTGTAATCGGTCCTTACGGTTTTTCCTGAAGATTAGCGACTTATTACTCGGGCGACGTGCAAATAACTTCAAATCATATAATCTTCTACTTATAGTTTTCATAGAAACACTAACAATTCCTTTTATGTCGATTTTGGCTTTTATTGGTCCTGGGGTTTTAAACGGATGTTTGGACGAAATTACTTTTATTAATCTAACTGATCTAGCATAGTTTTCTAGGCTGACCTCTTCTCTTAGAGACTTCCAAGATAACTTTTTGTTTATATTTGTTTAATATTGTCCAAACTGCATCTTGCTTCAGCTTCAATTTTTTGGCAATGTTGACTTGACGTTGACCATCTTTGTATAACTCAATGATCTTAGTTTTCACATCAAAAGAAATTTCTGGACCACGTGGCATGGTCTTAAAATCACTCAACTTATTCCATAATACTTGAGATGAACACAAACTAATCCTCTTCTGACAGGAAACTGTACTAAACTAACTTGAAAAGAATTTGTCTACATATTTTTGTCGCTCATAAAAAAGTGTTTATATTCAGACTTCTATTGTGTTCATTGCAGATAATGTAAAAACAAGGAATTTAGCTTTTCTACTAATAACATATTTGTTTATGGAGCAATGAAGTATGAATTCATTTTCTAAAGGTATTTAGATAAATATTCATATTTGTCTATACACTTTTGTCCATTACTGTATGTGATGTTTTCATGACATGGTAATTCTTACATAATTTGCAGAGAGCACCACACGCCTAATGAAGGTGGATGTTCCACTGGTAATATTATTGTGTTCATACAATGCTATCACTTTGGTAGCCAAATAAGTAAAAATTATGCACTCAAACTATGTAGTTTTGGTGACAAAAAATGCAATGTAAACATGGGGATTTGGCTCCTTATCTATTTGAATTAATTGATAGAGACCAATAAGTATAGGCAAAATGAACTAGTGGTTCATACTCACGTGTGAATGTGTTGGTTCTCTTTCAAATAAATATCTCTCCGATTGTTGATTCCATCACTTCTAAATGTATCGGACCCTCTGAGCAAGTCTTGCCTCTCTCTTCTACTTTCTCTTTGTGAATTTGTTTTCCTAAAATCTCTTGTCAAGTCAGCTAATATATCTCTATGCCTCTGCAAGGTGTGCAGCATTGCAGCACCTGACACTGGTTGTTCCGAAAGTCTTTCATTTATCTGTCCAAGCTGAAAACAATTTTCAAAATATGTTTATGATAATTTGGAATAAGCCTTATCATTTCAAAACATAACACAGATATGAAGGTTTTTAGTAGAGTAGATAAAACCAGATATGGTTTCAACATTTGTTAGGCCAAATTATAGCTTAAGCAGCTTCAATCAGATATTTATGAAACTGCAGGCAAGGCAAGTGATAGTAATTTGGCAAGCAAAAATCATAAATTTGGGATTATAGGTTCAACAGAATTTTAGTTTCTCCATAACATCAAATCTCAATAGTTCATTTGACTTAGCAACCTACAGTGTAAACATGGCAAATGTTAAGATAATAAAAATGGAACAGGAAAGGAAAAGAGGAAATATAGGCTACTTTTCAGACAATGATGAACAGATATAAGATGAGGTGCAGGAAGCATTATGTTGGGTAATACATCACAAACATGTATATCTTATACTTTAAACAGTCTTTTACCTTGCTTAAGAGCTGTTCAATTTCCAGCGCCATACTCTCAAAGGTGTCTTCTTCTGATAAAAGAGGCACTGTATCAGAGTGGGTGTGGGGGCTATTGATACCAGCTCCAAGCTTGCTGAATGCCACTAGCTTCAGGTCTATCTCATTTTCGAGCTGTCTAGCTTGCTTTCGCAAATCTACAAGAAATAATAAATTCAAATTTAGGATGTTTATCACAAATATTTATTTCCAACACATACCTTCGTAAGATAAAGCTGCTGCCATTGTTATTTCAAAAATAAATCTTGCAAAAACCTGTAAATGTTTATGTGTATCGTGTAAATTTAAAACATTTTCGCTGCTTACAATTAGAAAATATTTAAAAATGATTTTGATAAGTACCACGTCATACGTCATAGCACAAAACCGAAAATGAGAAACGATTCAAAGGATCATGAAACGATAACCACATAAACGCCATTTTCTAGGGTACTGTACAGGGGCACAGAAAAGAATTCCTAATGCAACAGTAATAAAACCCCAAGAATTCAAATAGTACGGAGTAAAAGCGCTTCTGGAGCAACCGCAGGAGTTCAGGCACTACTCATATCAGGAGCGATGCGGAAAGGGGAGGGTCGTAACGTAAGGTAGTTATAGCCGAGACCAATTAGGCTCAAGCGTGAATTTGATTCCTTCGAGATGAATATGACACTGTGACTCAAGAGCTAAGGTCCCACGGACCGCTCTGACAACCAACGATGACTTAACTTGACTGACTTGAATATGACTGAAACATTATCTCATTTGAACCAACTAGTAGTATAGCTTTCGTTCATCCGTTGTTTTTACTTTCGCAGTGATAGGTTCTGGTAATAGATGGTACTTTGTGCTGTCTTATATCAAGGATTTTTTCGCGAGTCAATGGTGTAGCACAGTGCACTACCGGGAATCGATACTCAAACGGGAATATGGGAAGGCGGATATGACGTCGTCAGAATATAAAAAAATCACGTGCTACGGGTACCCTGCTAACGTCTGTGAGGTACTAACGGGTAGCGGGTGACAGGTCTTATGTCAATATCATTTAAAAAATAGGCATCTCAATTGAAAATTTGTCTTCGCAGTGCCGAAAATTGAGTTAACTTATTAAATCATAAATGGAGGAACACGTCCACCTGATTTTAAATGACGAGGGAGAAGATATATGAACCGCACTTGTCATATCAAATGATTGATTTTATTGATATATATGGCGGTCTTTTTATTTCA